GAAAATCATGTAGCCAGCTGAGGTTTAGAATTTAGCTTAGACTTCATTATAATGGCTTCATTTTGAGATAATCCTTTGGTATACTAATTTCTGGTTATGTTTGATGATCAATTTACAACTAGATCTAACAGAATTTTTCTTTGATCATCATCTGGCATGTAAAGTTCTTTCCTGTCCATTTGTCTGCTATGAAGTTTACAAGTTTATCTTAGAAATGAAAATTTTTACCTTTTCCTTTTGGCAACTGTATTTTTTCCCCTCTGATGTAACTGGTAACTAAATAAGCTTTACCAGAACTTTGTCTAATGCCCAGAGGTAATTTAGAATCATGAGCCTTTGCTCTGAGCATAATAAAACCTGATTTTAAAATGTCTCTGCATGTTGATAAGTATGACTGGCAGCAAAATCATTGTCTCAATGAATCAATGTCTCATACATGTCTCATCTCCCCACATAAGAATGTAAACATTTTAATCTTGTTTCATCCCTTATAATTTCTTTTTTTTTTTTGTGAGGCAATTGGGGTCAAGTGACTTGCCTAGAATCACACAGCTAGTGAGTGTTATGTGTCTGAGGCTGGATTTGAATTCAGGTCCTCCTGACTCTAGGGCTGGTGCTCTATTCACTATACCACCTTGCTGCCCTATCCCTTATAATTTCTCTCATGTTTATTTCTTATACTTCTCTTGAGTCCTATGTTTTCTATTTCAATTTTTTACTTCAGCTCTGTTTTTTTTTCATCAGAAATGCTTAGAAGTCCTTTATTATATTACAGATACATTCCCACCTCCTGTCCCCACCCCCTCTTGTAGTTTTACTGGGTAGGTTATTCTTGGCTATAAGCCTAGATATTTTGCCTTCTGGAATATCATATTCCAAGCTCTCCATTCCTTTAATGCAGTGGCAATTAAATCTTTTGTGATCCTGACTGTGGCTCCTTGGTACTTGGATTCTCTCTTTCTGGCTGCTTTTTCTCCTTAACCTGGGAACTCTGGATTGGATTTGGGCTATAAGATTCCTGGGAGTTTTCATTTTGGAGTTTCTTTCAGAGAGTACCTGGCATATTCTTTCAATTTCTATTTTGTCCTCTGGTACTAAGAGATCTGGGCAGTTTTATTTTATGATTCCTTGAAATATGATGTCTAGGCTCTTTTTTTGTTCATAGCTTTCAAACAGTCTAAAGATTCTTAAATTATCTCTCTTAGATCTACTTTCTAGGTCAGTTGTTCTTCCTATGAGATGTTTCACATTTTTCTATTTATTCAGATTTTTTACTTTGTTTTATTATTTCTTGATATCTCATAGAGTCATTAATGAGTTTCCATTTGGCCAATTCTGATTGTCAAAGAGTTATTTTTTTCAGTAAGGTTTTGGACCTCTTCTTTCAAGCTGTTAATTCTCTTTTCTCATCTTTCTTCCACAGCACTCATTTGATTTTACAAATCTCTTTTGCTTTAAAATAATACTCTTGTAGGAATTCTTGTTAGACTTGTGTCCCAGCTGTATTTTTTCCTTGCGGCTTTGCTTGTCAATGTTCTCAAGTCATTGTCTTCTTCTGAGTTTGTGTGTTGAGCTTCCCCAACATCATAGAAGCTCTTTTCTGTCATTTGCTCATTCTTCCAGCCTTCTTCCTGACTTTGAACTCAATATTAAGTCTGGGCTTTATGCACTTTGGCAGGAGTACAGGTGCTGTCTGGACTGAACTTCTGTCCTCTTTCATCCTTCTGCTGCTTTCATAGTTCCAGTTGGAGGCCTGCAGGCTTTCAGTGCTCCCGAAGTGGAGTGATATGAGACAAGTTCTGTTCATTGCCCTTCTAATCTGTGCTCCACAAGTTCTTAACCCAGGTTTGAGTCTATTGACTTGTCCCAGGTTGGGAATTTCAGCAGACAATTGCTGGACTCAGTAACTAATGGCCTGCTGGGAGGCTCTGCAGGTTCAGAATGACTGAACTTCTGGCTCCCTGCAGGTTTATGGTACTTGGGAAAAGGCTAGAACTGAGTCATCATTCTGATCCAGGAATCAGAGCCACAAGGCTACATTTTCAGAACTTGTTTCTTATTCATTACACAGCTAAGATCCATTCTTGATACTGCTCCTCTTTGCTCCAGTATCTAGAACTGGGTAATGGGCAACAGAGTTGCCAGATGGCACCTGTTCCTGAACTCAGCACTAGTTCAGGGATACCATGAGCAGCTAGGTGGCACAGAGGGCAGATACGTGTTCCAATGGATAGACCACTGGGCCTGGAGTCAGGAAGATGTAAGTTCAAATCTGGCCTCAGACACTTAGTAGCCGTGTAACCCTGGGCATGTCAATTTATCTCTTACTGCCTCCGTTTCCTCATTTGCAAAATGGGGATAATAATAGCACCTACCTCCCAGGGTTATTGGGAAGGTCAAATGAGATATTTGTAAAGTGCTTAGCATAGTATCTGGCACATAGTAGGTGTTATATAAATGTTAGCTATTATCATTATCATTATTATTAATAATCATCATCCTCTGGGATCTCTTTCTGCCCTGATACCCTGCCTTGGTTCTCTTTCTGTTTCTGGGCACTGGAATGCTCCTTGCCACTGCCACACACATTCCTGGCCAGACCCTGTTTCTAGTGTTTCTAATTGCTGCTCCCCATACACAGTATTTCCACAGACCTCTGTCTATCTCCTGGAGCTGTCCTGGGCAGGAAAAATGACTCACTGTGACTTTTTCTTGGCTTTCTCCATCAAAATTTTGATTGTGGCAGGTTTTAGATTGTTGTGGAGAAAGGATAGAAGCAAGCTAGGTTCAACCACTTCCTCTTACTCTGTCATCTTGCCTCTGTCCCCCCCTCTAACCTAGTTTAGTCTCTTATCCACCCAGACCAATGTGACAACCTCTTAATTAATGACATAGCTGCCAAATGGATTTTTTTTTTGGCTAGGCAATGGGGTTAAGTGACTTGCCCATGGTCACACAGCTAGTAAGTGTTATGTGTCTGAGGCCGGATTTGAACTCAGGTCCTCCTGACTCCAGAGCTGGTGCTCTATCCACTGTGCCACCTGGCTGCCCCCAAATGGATATTTCTAAAACACAGCCTAGTTATGTGACACTGCCCTGCTCCAGAATCTAGAGGATAAAATCTAAACTCCTCCAGCTGGCATTTGCAGCCCTTCCTTGTTTACTTCTATCCTTTCTTTTCAGGCTTACTGCACATTACTTGTTTTTGTGCCCTTTATGTTCCAACCAAACCCCTAATCGCTGCTCCCCATACACAATATTTCATCTCCTATATTTGCCGAAGCTTCCTTCCATTCATGGAATGGCCCTCCCTCCTCACCTTCACTTTGTACAATCTCAAGCTTCCTTCAAGGCTCAGCTCCAGAGCTACCTTCTAAATAAGGCCAACTTTTGTGCCACAAGTTTGGGACCACTTTGCATATGTTTTGTATTTACTTATTATTGGATCTAAAGTGCTGTAGATGGCATGGGGTCAAATCACCTCATTTATCACCATGGAAACTGAGACGCAGAGAGGAGAAGGAACTTACCCAAGACCACACAGGTAGGACATTATGGAGCTGGGATTCATACTCAGAGTTCTTATTCCATCCCATAAGTAGAATATAAGCTCTTTGAGGACAGAGATTGTTTTGTTTTTACCTTTTGTCTCCCTGATGCCCAGGCAGCTAGGTGAAGCTGCAGTGGATAGAGTTTTAGACCTGGAGTTAGGAAGACTTCTCTTCCTGAGTTCAAATCCAGCCTCAGATACTTACTAGCTGTGTGACCTTGGGCAATTCAGTTAACCTTGTTTGCCTCGGTTCCTCATCTGCAAAATGAGCTGGAAAAGCAAATAAGTGACAAACCATTCCAGTATCTTTGCAAAGAAAACCCTAAATGGGGTCACAAAAGTTGGACACAACTGAAAATAACTCCTCAATGCCCAGCATAGTGCCTAATATTTAGTAGGTGATTCATAAATGCTTGTAGAATGGATGAATGAATGGTCTTCTTGCTTTCCCTGTTTCCCCTCTCCAATCCATCCTCAATAAAGCTGTTAAATTCATCTTTATAAAGCACAGATCTGGCCACATCACCTTCATGCTCTCACCTGGCAATAAAGACCATCCACATCTTGGCTCTTACATTCCTTTCAAGACTTAGGTCTTACCACACTGCTTCACAAGTTATATGTTCTTGTTAAAATGGACTGTTTGTTAGCTGTTGACCAAACTCATTGACTATCTCTGATCTCCATGCATTTACATGGGTTATATACCCCTACACCATCCACCTCTCAAAATTCTTCTCTTTCTTCAAGGTCCCCCTCCAATTCCCTCCCCCCCCCATCACTGTCAGGACTTTCCCTGTTCTCAGTGCTGGCCAGGAACACTCTGATTGGATTTCTCTTTTTCATTCCCCTTGATGACTAGCTTCTAGTATGCTTTTTTGGGTCCTCTCCAATCCTCCCAGGTAAGCACCCTAAAGACAGATACTCTGTCATTTTGATCGTTGTGTTCCTGGAGCCCAGCACAGAGCCACCCACTGAGTGGAGGACAGAGGCATTGATGGGCAGTTCTTCTGGGGAAGAAATATTCATTGCTATTCAATTCACAGGGTTGTCATTGTCATTAACCATTATTGTAAGTTACTAATTGGTTGACATAAGTCAGGCACTTTCTAGGACACTACCTTTGCTGACCTCATCTCTAATTGGTGTGGGGAGGGGAGGTTCAATTGCTTTTTTTTTTTGCTTTTTTTTTTTGGTCTAGGCAATAGGGTTAAGTGACTTGCCCAGGGTCACACAGCTAGTAAGTGTTATGTGTCTGAGGCCAGATTTGAACTCAGGTCCTCCTGACTTCAGGGCCAGTGCTCTATCCACTGCGCCACCTAGCTGCCCCGGGGAGGTTCAATTGCTAGAGATTCTCTAGACATCTCAGCAAGCATCTCCAGATGGCATCAAAGTCCCCTTCCTCAGTATATATCTCTGCACTCAAATTCTGCTATCAGCCAGCCCCTACCCAAATGATCCTCATGCTGCTGCCAGGCACAGTTCAGAGGCCCCACCGCTGTGTGTTGCCATCGGCGAGCTGCTAGAAGTCTGTTTTGGAAGCAGAGATACTGAAGGGCCTGGTGTCTGACTCCTCCCTTCAACTGGTGTTGAATGCTGCAGTATATCTGGGATAGCCTGTGGTACCACATTCTGGGGAAAAGAGCAAAAGGAAAAGTGAGTCAGAGGCGCCATGAAACATAGTTAGAGGTGACAGGGACTTAATGATCTCAAGTACAGAGGGTCGACTTCAATTTGGAAAAGCTAAGCACAAAGGGCCCCAAGTCATTGCTTTCAATTGCCTCACCCACTATTTATTTGGTCCCTAGTAATCTGCTTTTTGCCTCCATCACCACAAATGAACTTTAATCACAAAATCTCACAGTTGGAAGAGAACTCAGAGGTCATCTAGTCCAATCTCTAATTGATGGAGGAATGATACTGCAATAAAAGGGGCATAATTTTCAAAGATAGGGAAATGATATTCCCTTTGCCTTCTGCCATGGTCAGACATCATCTGTAGTATTGTGTTCAGTTCTGGGCACCAAAGTTTAAGGACATTGATGAAATGGAGAATGTCCAAAAAAGGGAAATCAGAATGAAGAAAGGTCTTGAATCCAATGTCATATAAGGAACTGGGCATGTTAGCCTAGAGAAGAGATGTCTCAGGGAGGACATAAGAACTTGTCTTCAAGTATTTGAAGGGCTTTCACATGGAAAAAAGATTTGATTTTCAGAACAAGGAGCAATGGGGTGAAGCTACAAAAAGGAAAATTTAAGCTTGATGTCAGAAAAAAAACTCCCTAACAATTAGACCTATCCAAAAGTGAAATAGACTACTTCAGGAGGTAGTGGATTTGCCTCAGGAAATCTTCAAGCAAAGACTGGATGACCACTTCTTAGAGACAGAAAACCAGGATTCTTTTTCAGTGATGGATCAGCCTACATGACCACTGACGGATGTCCCTTTCACTTCTGAAATGGCATGATTCTGTGAATACCCTCTATGGCAGCCCAAATGTAATTCACTAATGGTGCCTAAAACAATGGCCTCTTTCCAATTCTCATCTTCCATGATTTTTTTTTGGTGGCATTTGAATTCCAATGATAAATATCCCCTTCTTTAAACTCTCCTACTCCCTCCTTCAAATGTTCTTTCTTGCCTGGCTTTTATAACACCACGTTCTTCTGATTTTCCTTCTTTTCCAACCACTTCTCTATTTCTTTTAATTGGCTCTCCTTGTTCTTCCTACCTCCCATGCCCTTACCTTATATTCTTTTAATTCTATATTCAGTCCTTTGGAGATGTTACCCACTCTCAAATCACTAGGCTGATTACTTCAAGATCTCTATCTACAGAGGGGCAGAGCCAAGATGGTGGGGTAAATGGAATGCTTTTACTGAGCCCTCTAAACAACTTTAAAAAAGCATGTCAAATCAAATTCTCAGTGGCATAACCAACAAAAAGGCAGAGGGAGCCATTTTCCAGCCTAAAGCTGCTTAGAAGAAAAGTCTGCAGCACTGGAGTAGGGGCTGGCCAGGAGCACAGTGCAGCAGAAGTAACACCAGCTTGGACCTTGGAGGTGGCAGGGCAGCAATAACAGGAGCACTCAGTGCCCAGGGATGCGAAGGAGATTGAACACCTGGTCAGAAAGAGATTACAAGGGACCCCTGTGGGACACAGGGTATAGGACCAGGTGCCATTTGACAACTCCACTGCCCCCTTAACTAGTTCTGGGTTGCAGTTTTAGGGAAGAGAGGAGTGCTTGCAGTCACAGGGGACCAGGAGCCCTACCTGGGTAAGGACCAGAGAGCAGATCAGAAGAGCAGTGGCCACACCTTTCCCCGGATCACACCACCTTAGAAGCACAGAAAACATACAGGCCTCTAAAACTAGCTGTGAAAACAGCAGAAAGACATAAAAAACAGAAGCTCAGGTCAGTTATTTTCCCCACCCCCACCCCCCACTACAACTCCCACTCCCAGAGGTGAGTAGAGCCCAACTCTAGCATAAAGTCCAAAGTAAAAAAACTGGCTGTAAAAATGAGCAAACAGACAAACAAAAAGAGAACCTGACTATGAAAAGCTACTGTGGTGATGTGGAAGCTGAAGACACAAACTCAGAAGAAAATTTGAAAACAAAGCTTCAAAGAAAAATGGAAAAAAAACTTACAGCAACTTTCTCTGATAAATGTTTCATTTCTCAAATATACAGTGAACTGAGCCAACTTTATTAAAATAAGAGTCATTCTCCAATTGAGAGATGGTAAAAGGATATGAACAGGCAGTTTTTAGAAGAAGAAATCAAAGTTATCAAGTCATATAAAAATGCTCTAAATCACTAATAATTAGAAAAATGCAGATTAAAACAACTCTGAGGTACTACCTTGTACTCATCAGATTGGCTAAGATGACAGAAAAAGAAAATGATAAATGTTGGACAAGATGTGGAAAAATAGAGACACTAATGTGCTGTTGTTGGAGTTGCAAACTTGCCCAAACATTCAGGAGAACAATTTGGAATTATGCCCAAAAGGTTGTAACACTGTGCATACCTTTGACCCAGCAATGCCACTACTAGGTCTGTATGTCAAAGAAATCAAAGAAAAAGAAAAAGGATCCATAGTTATAGCAACTCTTTTCGTGATGGCAAAGAATTAGAAAGTGAGGGGATGCCCATCAGTCAAGGAATAGCTGAACAAGTTGTAGTACATGAATATGATGGAATACTATTGTGCTATAGGAAATGACAAAGGGGGATGGTTTCAGAAAATCTTGGAAAGACTTACATGAACTGATGCAAAGTAAAGTAAGCAGAATGAGGAAAGCATTGTACACAGTAACAGCAATATTGCAAAGATGATCAACTGTGAAAGACTTTAGCAACTCTGATCAATATAACAATCCTTAACAATTCCAAAGGACTCATGATGAAAAATACTATCCACTTCCAAAGAGAGAACTAATTAACTCTGAGTGTAGATTGAAGCAGATTTTTTTCACTTTCTTTATTTTTCTTGCTTTTTTTTTTTGCTTTTACAATATGGCTAATGTGGAAAAGTGTTTTGCATGACTTCACATATATATGTGTGTGTATATATATTATATATATAAAATGTATATATATGTATGTGTGTATATATATGTATATATATGTATGTGTGTATACATATATATACATATCTATCTATCTATCTATCTATCTATCTATCTATGTATCTATCTATCTATATATAGAGAGAGTCTATAGCATTGCTTACCTTCCCAATGAGTGGGGCAGGGTCGGGAGGGAGGAAGAGAATTTGGAACTCAAAATAAAAAAGGAAAAAAAAAGATCTCTAGAGATAGATCTCCAGTCCAGATTTGTCAACACAGCTGACTACAGAGCATCTACACTTGGATGAACTCAACAGATCCCAAATAATCCTTCCCAACACTCTCCCATCTCAAAACCCACTGCAAATTTTCAATTTCTTTCAATGTCACCATCTTCCTAATTCTAGTCTTTCAACCTCAGTAAGAGTTTTCTCTGTCTTCTTATACATATGTCACATTGGTTCTCTCTTTATGTCTCCTGAATTCATCCTTTTTCTTTCTATTTCCCTTGTCAGGCCCTCATCAATTTATGCCTGTATTACTGTAATAATTTCCTAACAAGTTTTCCTGCTGCCAGTCCATCCTGCATATTATTGCCAAAGTAATCTTCTTAAAAACCCTGTCACTACCTTATTTGAAAACTCATGATCACTCTCAACTGTCCATCAAATCAAGCTCCTCCAACTGGAAATATAATATTCCAGGTGTGAATGTTGCTTATGTTCTCCTCTTTTTTCTCTTCTAGTGATGAACACGGGGCAATCAATAAAGACTCATTTGTGTGAAATTGTTCTTAATACGAATCATAACTTTATGTCAGATGGTTTACAAACCAACTGGCCTCTTTCTGGACAAATGAAAAGAAAATTCTGTTCTTTTTTCCATTTTTTTCCCTACAAAAATGGCTTCAGAAAATTTGTCCTTTTAAAATATCAAGAATTAAAGTAGGGCATTTTTTATATTCCATACTTCCTTGGAGCTTGAAATCAAAAGCAAAGAAAGCCTCCAGCCACTCTAATCCTCCATCTTCTGAAGTTACAGAGGGGAAACAAATGTCAATAAACATTTATTAAGCACCTACTATGTTCCAGCACCATGCTAAATGCTGGGGGCACAAATATGAAAAAGAAAGGTAATCCCTGCCCTCAAAGACCTTAAAATTGAATGAGGAAAGGCAAGACACAAAAGAAACTAAAAAGTGGAGGACAGGGGCTTGACATGGGGGCATGATGGAGAAGTTCCAAAGTAGTACAGTCAGGTGGAGAAATAAGGGATGTTCTGAGTTAAACTCCCTCCTTAAATGGAAGTATAGAGTTCATGGCCTCACCCTCCAATCAGAGAGGCAGAGGGTGGTGAGGAGAGAGAGGACCAAGGTTTTTGAGATCTTACAGGATGATGAGGTTGTTCCAATAATGAGCTTCCTGGGGCCTGAGGGAGAAGCCAGTCAGAGAAGTCCCAAAGTAATGTTAAAGATGGTCAGGGGCAGCCGCCATTTCAGCAGAAGTGAAGAAGTAAAATTCCCATCACCAAAAGCAAAACTTTAATATTGTCTCACTCACAGCTCTCTCCCACTTCAAGCTGTTTTTTTTTTTAACACCACACCCCATGATCCTCCTCCTGGCCCTAGTCTCCTGTGTATACTCCTGCAGAGCCCTCCTCTTTTGTAGAGTTGGCAACTCCTAGCCAGTAGGCAAAAATATAGAGTGGGGGAAAATGTGTCTTGATCCCTATCTATTCTAGAAAAATGCCAGTTGTCAGAGCCAGAGGTTCTACATGGGATGTGCCAGATTGGAACAAATGCAACTAAGCAATCACATATTGATGTGACTTTGTCTGAAATTCCATCGTTTCTCTTCCATTAAGCAGCAGAGGCAGCCCTCTTTAGAAGAACAAACATTTATACGTGGACTACCTGAAAAGTATGTGTTTCAGGTTTCTTTTGCCTAACCCCTGGCACGCTCCTAGACTGTCTACCCAGTCAGTACATGCTCAGACAATGTTTCCAGAATCTGAAAAACCCTTTTTCTTTGACTCTTCTACCCTATTAACCTTCTTCTTCATCTCTCTTTTCCTTCACTACTAAACTTGCTAGGGGAAAAATTTGGAAAAGTAGAGCCCTGCTCCCTAGCCCCTCTCCATCTTTTCTCCATTACCCTCCTCTTTCTCTCTTCCTCACCGAACCCACCTTCTCCTTCACCTCTTTTTGTCATCAGGCTTCTGCCTCCTCCACGCTATTAATGCCTCTCTCCTGCTAATAACATGGTCCAATACATCAGTCTTTCATCAGTTCTCATCCTTCCAGATTTCTCTGCATCATCTAACACTACTGACCATTGTCTCTTACTATCCCATAGGCAATCTCCTCCCTTGGCCTCAGATATCACAATTCCCTGATTCTCTTCTTCTATTCCTGCTCTTCTTCACTGACTCTTTACTCTCTTCTCAAATTTTTCCTGTAGTTGTTGACCAGAGCTGTGTTTTAGGCTCTTTCTCCTCCCTACATACCTTTTCCTCTCTCATTTACTCCTACCTTTCTAGCATTTTTTTCATCTTACTCCCCTCTAAGCCTTCTGCACTCCAGCCAAATTGTACTGGTTGCCACCTACCAAATATACCTTCTGCTCTTCTACTGCCATACCTTCGCTCGTGCTTTTCTCTGTGTAGAATGTCCTTCCTCCCCCTCTTTGCCCAATGAGTTCATACTCATCTCCAATACTACCTCACCCTGAAAGCTTTTCCTTAGGTTGCCAGGCTTTTCTACCTTTGACCTTACGTAGCATTTTGGATTTCAATTCCCCAATGCACTGATCATATACTAGTGTTCCATGTTTACTTCTTACCCCCCTATTATATTGTAGTAAACTCCACAGACGATTAAACTTTGTGTCATCTTTAGTTTCCCACAGCATCCAGTACATGAAAAACACTTGATAAATGAATGCATATGAGTCTGATGAAGAATTCAAGTCAATTCAACAAACGTTTACTAGGCATCAACCACATGCAAGACACTAAGCTAGGTACTGAATACATTCTAAAATGAAATTATTGTGAGATTACACACAGTTTGGGATTATCTCTCTTTGCCACAGTTCTAATATGTTATTATGCATAACTTTTAAGAGTGTCTCTACTCCACTCACTCTCCCTCAAAATGAGGCAAGTCTATCAATGAATACAATGAAGACAACAGAATGGGTCTTTTAAAAATATGTTGGAAGGGGATAAGAAGTTGATTAAAAAAGGGAAAGGTGCTTGGGGCCTATGAAGGTATGATACAGGATTATGGAAAGAACACAAAAGTACTCAACTTTTTATGTTACTTCTGCACTCTCTACCAAAGAGAATGATCTAAGGACTGAGAGGGCTACAGCAGAAAAAGGTTAAAGGGGAACTGAAACCCAAGATGATAATGATTTAAAGGGGGAATTGAAATCCAAGAGACTGTAAAAGAGGACCTAGTTACCCTCCATTAGTTCAAGTCACTAGGGGCCTAGATGGCCTGCATCCCAGGGCACTGAAAGAATTAGCAAATGTGATTGCTGAGCTACTGTCAGATGTCTCAGAAAAAAAATGTGGTCAATGGGAAAGATAACACAGGACAGGAGATTTGGACTTTTGAAAAAAACAGAGTGAAGCTCCGCCCAGACTATTAAGCCTGGGGTACTGAGTTTGATTTCTGCCAAAATATTAGAGCATATTTTTAAAGGGATAATTTTGTGAGCACTGAGAAAGGGAAGTAATGAACACAGCATGACTTCACTAAAAATTATGATATAAGATTAACTTCCTTTTGTCTTT